ACATTGGTGAGGCCCCTCCCATGCCTCTGCACCTAGGGGAGGCCTCCTGACCCTTGCCCCCACCTCCTGAGGCCTCTCCTCCAACAGATCTCTCCTTCAGACCCCCACAGGAGTGCCATTCACAGGTGGCTCCTCCCTGTCCGCCGCAGGTGATTGCCTCTATCTTGGGTCCACGCTGACTTTGGCAAACAAGATGCCCATGCCTTCCCTGTTTGATATACGACAGAACATGGCCTTGTATGGGGTTCTGCGGCTGGGTGAGAACCCCAGGGGAGTAAAAAGCCAGAGCTGGGTAGGACCAGGGGGGCATGGCTGATTCTCCCTAACCTGAGTGGGTTCACAGAGCCTTCTGCAGTCACACTCAGATTGGGCCACCTTAAAGATCAAGTGAGTCCATGACTTGCTCAGTCCCAAGTGACATCCTGCCGTCAGTCTCGTTTTTCAGAATGAGCTTATTAAATGTCGGAGACCGGGAGCTTTACAGACCAGTGTGTCATGTGCCTTTCCGTATCACCCACCGTAATCCAGGCAGCAGAGTTCCCTCCTGGCCTCACAGTTTCCTACCATGGGGGCTGCTGCAGCCTGGGGGAAGCTGCTCACGTACTGGGGAGGGAGCACAGCCCAGATCTGCATCTCACCCTCTCAACCCCAGGCCTTGGCAGAACCTTCAAGGGTCTTCTACAGACTTCTGCCCAATTTTGGTCCATGGCCTGCCCCAGCCCTGTCTCCTTCCTCCCAGGCTCTCATGACATACATTCCATGGCTCCCCATGTCCGCTCTGTCCTCCTGGTGGGACCCTCCGGCATGGGGAAGAAGATGTTGGTCCATGCAGTATGCTCAGAAACCGGTGCCAACCTGTTTGACTTGTCACCCGACAACGTGATGGGCAAATACCCTGGCAAGAATGGGGCCCAACTGCTAGTGCACATTGTCTTTAAGGTCAGCAGCCTTTAGCTTGGAGCAAGGGTGGATTTCTCAGGATGGAGACAATGGCAGGGTGGGTTTTCTGAACACTTTAGGGGTGACCCGTATTTTACTGAGATACAGGGACGTGAACGGACGTCTTTCTTCCAAACCTTGTGGGAACCTGGGTTCCCCTGAAGCTCCTGTGATGGGGAATGTGGAATGCGGAGAGGCAGAGGGGAGCGAATAGAAGCTAGGGACTACAAAGTTATCTGATGGGGTTTGACCCAGGTAGGGATATGACCCTTGCCCAGGGACGTCTGACATCTGGTTTCTATGCTCCACCCTATCCAGGTGGCCCGGGTCCTCCAGCCCTCTGTCATCTGGATTGGAAATACTGAGAAAACCTTCTATAAGAAGGTTCCAAAGGAAGAAAGGATGGTGAGCAATGTGGGCAGAAAGGGCTGTGCTGGACAACCAGAGCCCGGGGCAAAACTGGAAGTCCTGCTCAAGCCATTGGAAACTAAACTGGCATCTTGTTCACACTCTGTTTAAAAGGCTGGTGACACTCAGAACTGATGTGAAGAACAGCCTAAGTCATGGGCTCTGAGAACAGGGGTCTCACAGGCCCAGGCGTCATGTCTCAACCCTATAACCTTCCCTCCTTGGACCAGATGGACCCAAAGAGAATAAAGAAAGACCTCATGAAGGCCACTAGGCTGCTGAGCCCCGGTGACCGTGTGATGCTGATAGGCACAACTGACCGTCCACAGCTGGCTGAGATGAAGGGCCTGTGCCGGTTCTACGAGCGCATCCTCTTCATACCTCGGCCGGATTATGCTTCCCGTTATGGTGAGGCCAGGAATGGAACCCAGAGACCCCGACCCTTCGGAGTCCCTTGCCCTCCCCGAGCCCCCACTGCTGCTCTGAGCCTCAGCTCTCCAGGGGCTCGGGGCTTCTTAGACACAGCCAGAGGCTGTGGGCCTGGCTTTCCTGTGGCTCTCTGACCCTTCCGCCCTGTTCTCTCCTCTGCCTGCAGTGCTCTGGAAGCGCATGATAGAGAACCGGGGACCACAGGTGGCCCAGAGTCTGGACATCAGTGCTCTGGCAAGAGTATCTGACGGCTACACCACTGGTCACATTTCCCAAGCCATCCAGGCAGTGCTGACTGAGCGGCGGCTCCTTCAACTGTCCAAGAGGCCACTGGTTGCCTCCGAGTTTGTGGGGCACCTGGCAAGGCTGGATCCAGTTTACAGGGAAGAGGAAGAATCCCTAAAGGTGAAGCTGCCAGGCCAGGGCTGGTGGGCTCAGCAATGGCAGCCAGCAGTCAGCCCTCTGCATGTCTGGGGTTCCTCGCATTGTTCCCCTGTTGCCGGGAGGTGGTCAGGGCAAATGAATTTGGGCTTCTGCTGGGAAGGGGACTAGTAACACCAGGGGTGGCACTGGCTGCTGCGGTTGATGGCCATCTCTGGAGACAGGTTGACATTAGGAGTCACAGAGGCCTGTAGGGGTGGAGGGAAGAGGATCCGCACCTCTCAAGAATGGCTGGCACTATGGCCTAGAGTACTTACTGGAAACTGGGAGAAGCCCCTGCTGTGATGGGACACCCACTGCTCCCCTACACCTGGGAGGAGGATGGGAGAAAATTGCAGGGGAAAAGAGAGTTTGCATCCAGCGGACTGAATCCCCGCTTTTCTGCCATCCCAGGACTGGTATTTCAAGACTCCACTAGGAAGAAAGAATATAAAATTTTGCAAGGACCTACAGGAGGCTGATGAGGCCAGACTGGCGAAGGAGAAGAAGAAGAGGAAGTGATGGCGGCCGCCGGTGGGGTGGGCCCTGGCGACTGAGTAGTGCCTCCAAGGTCAGGGGGAGAGACAGACACATAAAGGCCCAGGTGGCTCCTGAGGGCTTTCTTTTTTGTTTACCATCTCCCTGGGCCCTGCCCCCTTTACCCGCCTCTCTGCCCTGGCTGCCAGAACCCCTCCTACCACCCCTGTGACTTTATCTTGTTTTCCTGTGCGGTTTCTCCTCCTCACTTGTTCAAGGCACTTAAGGGATAGGGTACAGGGAGACACAGGGAGTGAAGGACAGAGGGGAGAAGATCCAAAGGGAGAAACACCAGGTCTAGAAGGGAGTTAGCCCACTCCCTCTGTAACCTGTCTGAGCCTCAGTTTCCTTCTTTATAAAGTGAGGAGAGGGCTGGAGAGATGGCTCAGTGGTTAAGAGCACTGGTTTCTCTTCCAGAGGTTCTGAGTTCAATTCCCAGCAAGATCTGGTACCCACTTCTGGAGTGCAGGCATACACGCCGACAGAACACTGTATGCATAATAAGTAAATAAACCTTAAAAAAGAAAAAGAAAAAAAAGTAAGGAGAGGTTGGACAGGACATCCTCTAAGGTTCATCGCAACCTGGAACTGAGTTATGCTAAGCAAAGTGTCTGCAGGGTGAGGAGGGAGTGAAGGAGGTGAGGATACTTGGGTGAGAGTGGAGGTGGGGCTGGAGGAGGTAGGGTCAACCACAGAGAAGGGTAGAAGCTTTGACTAGTCTTCCCCTCCACAGTGGTGATTGTCGCCTTGGTGGGATTTATATCTGGGAGGTAGTTTGTAGACTGGGTTGATCAGGGTGGGAAGAGCCACCCTAAATGTGGGTGGAGCCATTTCATGGGCTGCTGTACTGAATCAAATGCACTGGTGTTCTTCACTCTGTGCTTCCTGATTGCGGAAGCAATGAGACCAGCCGCCTCAGGTGCCTGCTGCCTGTCTGCCTGACATGACAAGCCGCGTTCACTTGAACTGTGAGCTAGAATAAAGCCTTCTTTCAGTTGCTTTCATCAAGTCTGTTCGGTTTTTGTTGTTATCGTGTGGGGTTTTGGTGGTGGTGGTGGTTTTGGTTTTGTCTTGCTAAAGCAAGGAGAACAGCAACAATTACAACCTCTTTCCTGCAAAACCCCCTCCTAGTGGGTGGGGAACTCGGAGGTCAGGACTACTGGGTCAGCAAGGGCTAAAGAAGACACAGTGCCTTCTCAGAAGACAGACCTGCAAACCCTGTACAGAGGGCATGAGGAAAGTCAGTCAGTGCCCATGGTGCCCAGTCAGTGTGAGCCAGACCAGGGGAGATCCCAGAGCCCACAGCAGGCAGACTCAACAAACCAAACCCAAGAGCTTCACTTGGCTTTTTTCCTTTCTCCATTCTTTTGCTTTTTATCCCCACCTTCCTCAATCAAAGCACTCTCTATCTTCTGGGCTGAATGGCCAGAGAGGCTCCTAGATCACTCCCAGCTAAGACTTCCGTATAGTTCTGGAGGGGTAGAGACACCAGGTAGGAGATGCTGGGAGTCATCCAGGAGATGGGCAGGGGAAACGGGTGCCTGGAATGTGTCTGAGGGGCTGGCCCCAAGAATGGATGGGAGGCCAGAACTTGAGATGGGCAGGGAATTGGTACCTGGGTGGGAATGGGGATTAGCACCTAGGAGTATATTGTGGGTCTGAGTGGGCCAGTAGCTGGGCTGGGCGTGGGAGTGGTTCTGTTGCTGCCTGGGGACTGAGGCCCCATGTTCCTGGGCAGGAGTCTGTCTTGCAGAGAACCCCTGAGCGTGCCTCACACAATCTCTCTGATGCTCACCTCAGTTACCAACCTCCTTTGAGCTTAGGAGCGGAAGCTTGTCTTTGAGGAACAGGAGTCAGTGGCCTGCCTGGAGGTCACAGACTAGGCGTCTGAAGCTGACTTGTTGATGGAGCAAGTGACAGGCAAGAAGGAGCTTAGGATCAGCAGTCCAGTCCTGGCTCTGGGGCAAGGTACCTGTGACCCCTAGGCACACCATCTCCTTCCCTGAAATGTTCTTCTGTCTGTAAGGCAATGGCTCGGACAGCATTAACCTTGATGCTGTCCAGCCATAGGAGCGAAGCTCCTGGTTGCTTTCCCACCACTGTGTTTTGCTTCCCTCTCCCTTCTCCCCAGCAGGAGCATTCCACTGGGTACTCAGAGCTGCTGCTATTTACAGCTGGCCTGGCAACTTCCTTGCACCTCCCATACTGAGCTCCTCCTGGCTGGGGCCCAGCATTGCCTGCACAGTTCAACTTCAGTGTGGCTCAAGTCTTGCTTCTTTGGCTCCCTCTTCTAGAAACCAGCCATGCCTGGGGGAAGGAGCTCCCCTCCCCATACAAGACACCACCTGGGGTGCCTCCCCTCTGCCCCTACCTGCCAGATCTGGAGCGTGCAAGCCTATTCATCCTGGAGGACCCCTAGGTCATCACCACTGCTGTGCCGTGACATGGCTCTGCAGAACGCACTGTACACTGGGGACCTGGTGAGGCTGCAGGATCTGTTCCCCCCACACAGCACAGCTGACCTGCTGCTGGAGAGCCGGGCGGCTGAGCCTCGCTGGAGCAGCCACCAGAGGGGTAAGGGGCAGCCGGGGGCTGGGAGGCCTGAGATGGGACGGAGGGCTGACTGCCGCAGGAACAGAGGTCCCAAGGACTGAGGGCAAGTTGAAGTCCCTTGCTGCTGTTCCCCCACACCAAACTTTCCCAACAATCTAGACCTTGGCTCAAGATAGAAGTCATGTGGGGCCCAGAATAGCTCCTGCTGAACATTGCGGCCAAGTCAGGCTCCAGCAAGGGACACGGGGCCTCTTCCCCTCTGTCTTTTTCCTCCTTTCCTCATCTCTCTATAGTCCCCTTCTCTTCCCCTCTGATCCTTTTCCTTTCCCCATATGCTCATGAGCTGGTCTCCAGAGGAGTGCAGGGGCCAGGGAGAGCCTCGGGGTGACAGACACTCCCTCTGCGCCAGGCTGGTGGAGAAGCCTGACAGAGAGTCTGAGGAGCACCTTGAGCCTGGCCTGGTACCTATCACCACCCGCACGGCTTCAGGACCTGTCCTTGCCTTCTGGCAGGCAGTACTGGCTGGGGATGTAGGCTCTGTCTCTCAAATCCTCGTGGACTCCAGCACTGGCCTGGCTCCAGACTCCATCTTTGATACCAGCGACCCAGAGCGATGGAGAGATTTCCGCTTCAACATCCGTGCTCTGAGTATGGGCCAGGCATGGATGGGTCTGAGCGGGAGAGGGGAGGCTTCAGACGGAGTGAGCTCCAGGTTCATCCCACCTCTGTCAGCTTCGTCCCTGTGCCTGAGACAACTCTTTACCATGTCCCGGGATCTAAGGCCTCTGTCTCTCTCTCCCTAGGACTCTGGTCTCTGACGTATGAAGAGGAACTGACCACTCCACTGCATGTGGCAGCCAGTCGCGGTCACACTGAAGTTCTCCAGTTGCTGCTGAAGCGTCGAGCCAAGCCGGACAGTGCCCCTGGAGGTCGCACCGCTCTGCATGAAGCCTGTACTGCAGGTCACACGGCCTGTGTCCGTGTGCTGTTGGTGGCTGGAGCAGACCCCAACATCCCCGACCAGGATGGGAAACGCCCTCTGCATCTCTGCCGGGGCCCTGGTATTCTTGAGTGAGTGACCTTTCACCCTGGACCCACTTTCAAGGGGGCAGGACCAGCTGGTGTGGTCAATACGCAGTCACTCCCAAGACATCCACTGGACAGTTTTTCTGCTCCTCTGGGGGAGAATGGAGAGCTGGAGCAGGGGCCCAGCCTCATGGCCTTCCCTGAGGGCTCTGACCAGCTTTGTAATAGAGAAGATAGTATTGCTATAAATCTTTAATGTTTTCTGTGCTCCCGACATTGTGTTAAGCACGGTCCTGCCCCCAGGGAACCTGCTGTCTTGTAGCCAAACAGACTACAAAGGACTGAGTTAGCCCCAGTGGGTAGAGTGGCAGGCTGGATTCCCATATCAGCATCTTGAGAGATGGGGACAGGAGGATTAGGAGTTCAAGGCCACCCTTGGCTGCACACTGAGGGAAAGGGGACTAGGTTCAAGGGCTGGGAATGTGGCTCAGTGGTGGAGTACTGGCTTAGGCTTCCCAGAGCCCAGGGTCCCATCCCAAGTACAACAGAAGAACAAATTTGAGTTCATAAGACAGTGATTGGCACACCTGTGTGATTCGTCTCCCATAGGGAAATCTTCCTTTGCATTGGCCTAAATAATTGTGACCTGGGATTCGGGACCCCGAGAGGATGAGACCCCACTTACCACTTTGTAGTCACCATGGAATCTGAACAGAAGGGGCCTGGGAAGCCCCGTACACTCAGGCCCTCCATGCATGACTCATGCCTTGTAGAAAGGACAAGTCATCCATGGGGTCCCCTCCTATGAACCCTGTCCCCTCGTTAAGCTCGCTCACCCCCAGAGGATTTCATGGGTTAGTCACACAGCTGAAGAAATGGTCTATACCAGCAAGGCCCAATAGAAATCTAAAATGAGCCGAGCGGTGGTGGCCCACGCCTTTAATCCTGCAGAGGCAGGCGGATCTCTGTGAGTTCGAGACCCTAAAAGTTCCTAGAAGCCCTAACAAAAAATTAAATAGGCAACTGCAGTAAAATACATATAATATAAAAAAGTCCATGTTCACATGGTGGAACTAAAGGGGCTCGGGGAACCAAACAAAGGTCCTATGGACAGGCAGCCAGTGCTCCTAATTGCTGAGCCTCAGCAGCATCAGGTGCGTCTCTTACTAGTGTGTAAGCCTGGGCATGATCCTCAGGCCTTGCAGCCTCAGTGTCCTCTGGGAGCTGAGAGTAATAGAGTACCAGGGACTGGGCCAGGCCATCAGAGGAACATGTTCCAACCACATGGCAGCTCATGACTTGTACTTCTTCCTTCCTTCCTTCCTTCCTTCCTTCCTTCCTTCCTTCCTTCCTTCCTTCCTTCCTTTCTCTCTTTTCTTTCTTTCTTTTTTCATGACAGGGTTTCTCTGTGTAGCCTTGGCTGTCCTGGAACTCACTCTGTACACAAGGCTGGCCTCAAACTCACAAAGATCTGACTGCCTCTGCCTCCCGAGTTCTGAGATTAAAGGTGTGCACCACCACCGCCCAGCATGACTTGTATTCTCATGAGGATGTAGGGAATGATTCCTGTAGAGAAGAACTTGGGGTTTGTTTTGTTCTTAAAGGTTACTTTATGTGTATGTTTTGCCTACATATATGCATGTGTACCATGTATGTGTCTGATGCCTAAGGAGGTCAGAAGAAGGCTGTAGGATTTCCTAGAACTGGAGTGTGGATGGTTGTAAGCCACCATATGGCTGCTAGGAATTGAACCTGGGTCCTCTGGAAGAGCAGTCTGTGCTCCTGATTGCTGAGCCATCACTCCAGACTCTAATGGTTTGGTTTTAAGGCCACTTTTCTGGGGCTAAAGAAATGGCTCATCAGTTAAGAGCATGTACTGCTTTTGCAGAGATCCAAGTCCGATTCCCAGTAACCATGTCAAGTAGCTCACAACTGCCTACAGCTCCAGCTTCCATGGATCTAATGCCTTTGGGTGCGTGCACACACACACACACACACCATTTTTAAAATAGTAAAAATCAATCTTTTCAAACAAAACCCAGGAAGGGGTCACCGTGGGCTGCGATGGCTGGTGCCTGTAATCTCAGAACTCTGGGGGCAGAGACCAGAGATCATCTGAGTTCAGGAGCTAAAAGCAAGCACAGAAGATTCACTGTTGCTTCTGCCTTCTGTTTCTGGGAAAGTCGGATGGAAGGAGGGTGTAGTACCATGAGGTCCCCAGGGTCCCCGGTGTATTTGCTGTGCTAAGACCAAAAATACAGAATTGTCGTAGAACTGACAATGCAGAAATGCAGCATTGTTGTCCAGCCACCTTTCTCACCTACTATTTCTCCCTGCATAGGTGTGTGGAGTTGCTCCTGAAGTTTGGGGCACACGTAGATGGTCGGTCTGAGGATGAAGAAGAGACTCCTTTGCATATAGCTGCCCGGCTTGGCCATGTGGAACTAGCAGACTTGCTTCTGAGATGGGGTGCTTGCCCTGATGCCCGCAATGCTGAAGGTTGGACCCCACTGCTGGCTGCCTGTGATGCCCGCTGTCAATCCCCCTCGGATGCTGAGGCCACCACCCACCGCTGTTTCCAACTGTGCAGCTTGCTGCTCTCAGTCGGGGCGGATGCTGATGCTGCGGACCATGACAGGCAGCGGCCCCTGCACCTGGCTTGCCGCCGTGGCCACTCGGCCGTCGTGGAGCTGCTACTGTCCTGTGGCGTCAGCGCTAATGCCATGGACTATGGGGGACATACACCTTTGCACTGTGCTCTGCAAGGTCCAGATACAGCCCTGGCCCACAGCCCTGAGTGCATGGTGCGAGCTCTACTCAACCATGGTGCTGTCCGAGTCTGGCCAGGGGCACTCCCCAAGGTACTGGGGGCATGGCTGAAGGCAGGGAAAAGGTCACTATGGTGCAGGGACTAAGAGAGCCAGACCTGTGTCGAGCTTGCTTCTCAAAAGCAACTTGGAGCGTTTGAGCAGATAGCTCTTCTTCCATTCAACAAGAAAGTAACCTAAGGATAAGGAAGGGCACGCAGCAACAGCAAGTGTGTTTGTGTGTGTGTGTGTGTGAACAGGTATGTGTTCATGTGTTTTCATGCACTTGAGGAAGGTGGACTGAGTGCAATGGACAGAAGATCCAGGACCAGTGACGGAAGCAGTCCCTGAGCTGGGGAAGATGCGGTCTGAAGAGTCCTGATATAGCAGCAGGATTAGCTGAGCAGGATGTGCCCTGGACCTGTGCGAGCCTCACAGAGGACAGAGCTTAAATCTGCTGTTCCCCAAGGCTCAAGGGTTCTGAGCACTTGCAAAGGAACACATCCCTCTGCTGTCTGAAAGTTCAGGACAGCCCCCCTCCCCCTCGCGCCCCTGCCAGCTAGCTGTCACCACCCTTTGGAAATGCTTTTCACTGTCATCTTCCAGTTCTGTCTTATATCAGCATCCCTGAAGGGGTCTACTTGAGATGCTGGGTTAGGGTGTCCTGGGAAGGGCTTGGTCCCATGCTTCACTGAGCTACACTGCAACATGGAGGTTGCTGGGCCTGGAGTGGGGACAGTTATTCTCAAAGGGGATATATCAAATCTAAATTGGCTTTCTGGGAGGGTGACGGCTATGGGCAGGTTCCCGCTAGCCCGGCCTTCCTCCCTAAGTCATCCCTGTTGTCCCTGCCTCTCCCCTTTGCTCACAGACCTAGCAGCATCTGTCTGGATTCCTAAGCAAGACCAAATAATTAAACAGCCCGGGAGTTCGGCAGATTGGTCTCCCCTTTGGGAAAATACAAGAAAATCAACAATTAACACTAATTAATCTCCTATTAACACCAGATAATTAGGAGACGAGCAATTCCCTGTAATCTGACTGCGGTTCTGACAGCTAATGATTTCCCCGCCAGGCGGGGGCAGGAACAGGACCTGGTACAGCAGCAGACAGACATTTCAAGACCCCCACCTCTGCCCCTGCACCTGCCCCCCACCAGCCTGCTCTAGCCCTTGGCTGTCTCAGAGAGAAGGGTGACCGGGAGAGTAAAGGACAACATTTGTCCCTTTCTCACAACCTGCAGCCCCTCTAGCCTTGGCTAGAGTCCCAGCCCTCCCAGCGAGGGTGACTCTGAGCCTGTCTGTGTGACACACCAGCCTCAGCACTTCTCCAGAAGACTGATGTGTGGGGCTTGATGCTTAGGACCTGAACGCAACTCTGACTTTGACGCTTGTTTGTGAGACTGGAGGGGAATCGCCGAGAGCTTTTGGCTCCAAGGCTCCTGGCGAGGCGTGTAGCCTCTGCTGAAGGGGATGGGAAGGTGTGGGCAGCTCCGAAGGGCAATGCCGACCAGGCAGTGCACACTGGGTTGCTCAGCCCACCAACGGCCTGCAAACCTAGCTCCCATGCAGGGCACACTGTGTGTGCAAGTCACTTCTTCCTGTGGCAGTTTCCTCATCTTTAGAAAAAATAAAAAGTAAAGTGGGCGGGGGTTCTCTACAACCTAGAGTTAGTGTGGGGCCCACGGTTCACAGGTGTAACCCTAGAAGAGGGCGTGACCTCTGCATGGTGCTCAGGGTTCTTGGCTGATGTTCTAGGATGAGGTGGATGTGTGAGAAAGCTCTTGCTAAGCTGCCAGGAGTCACCCTAGTACATAGAGTCATGAGGCAAGGGAGAGGGCAAGGCCAGTTGGCGTAGCCTCAGTGAGGCTGGAGGACCACCTGGGCTTCCTGGAGGTGGGACTTGGTATGGGTTCCTTGGAGAGAGGGAGTGGAAAGAGCAGGCCCTTCCAGCAGAGACATACTGTAAAGTACCAGGCGGGCTAGGCTGAGCCGGCTCCAGTAAACACTGTCCAGAGGCGGCAGGAAATGGAGGCACTGGACCCATAAAATGCTGGCTCTGGGAGCCCCTGTGCCTGAACAAGGCCCTTCCACCTGCCTCCTCGACTCACTGGTGCCCTCCTGGGAAGCAGGGGTATCCAGGTTCCTGGTATGTGCAGTGGTGTCTATGGTGAGTTAGATGAGGTTATGCGTGGAAATGTTCCTCAGGGAGACAGCACTTAGCAGCTTCACTACCTCTGAGTGCTGGGATTGAAGGCATGTGCTACCATGTCTGATTTTTTTTTTAAACTTAAAACATTTTTATGTGTATGAGTATTTTGCCTACATCTTTGTCTATGCACCACATATATGCCTGGTGTCCACAGAAGCCAGGAGAGGGTGTTGGATTCCTTGGGACAGTAGTTACAATGGTTGTGAGCTGCCATGTAGATACTGGGTTCTCTTCAAGAACAGTGGGTGCTCTTAACCCTGGAGGTGTCTCCCCAGTGAGGGCTTATGTGTTTATGAGAAGTGTCTCATGTAGCCCAGTTGCTTCAAGCTCTCTATGTAGCCAAAGATGATCTTGAACTTCTGATCCTTCTGCCTCTACCTCCCCAGTACCAGGATGACTGGCCTGCACCCCATGCCAAGTTTATATGGTACTTACCATTGAGTCAAAGACTGCATACGCAGGGTGAGCCTTCTAGCACTTGAGCTATATCCCCAGCACTAGCTCTGATGTTCTTATCTGCCCGGGAGCCCACAGCCAGGCCAAGGGCTACTTTTTAGGCAGCAGAAAATCCAGGACCCCGTCCAGGAGAGGCAAATGGAAGGGCAGGGTGGTGTCATAGTTGGGAGCCAAAGGCCACTGTGCCAGGCATGCCTGGTAGAACTGCAGTCTGGCTAAACTTCGTAATGTCTTTGTTCCTCAGTTTCCCTCACTTACAAACTGGAGACAATAACAACAATCCACATCCGGTAGAAATGAGGATTAAGGGTCCATGCCTGCAAAGTGATAGGAGAAGAATCTGCCACCAGCCATGTGACCACTAGACACAGGCTCGCTGGCTGTGCCCACCCACGACAGTTCTCGTTCCCAGTATTGAAGGCTGGAGCTGGAAATAGAGGTGCTGGCCAGACTGGTTCCTTCTGAAGGCTCCAAGGGAGGTGCACTGTATACCTCTTTCCAGCTTTGGTGATTTCCTGGTATTCCTTGGCTTGTGCCCATATGGCTCTGAGATTCTCATGGGGCCACATTTCTTCTGGCAGACCCTGAACTTGTGATAGAGCCGAGGATGACCTTGAACTTTAAGATCTTCCTCTTTTCGTCTCTGGATTCCTGGGATTGCAGGCATCACACACCCGGCTTATGTGGTACTGGGGATCAGATCAGAGTCTCATGAATACTAGTCAAATTGTTAAACTATATCCAAGCCCTGTTTGTCACATAAGAATGACTGCCATATTACATAGAGGCCACTCTAACAGCCATTGACTTGATTGAATCTGCGAAAGTCCTGTTTCCAAGCTGAGCATGGTGGCACAAATTTGTGATGCCAGCATTCGAGAGTTAAAGTTCCTCCACCCTGGGTGACTTACAACAGCCTGTAACTCCAGTTCCATAGCGTGTGACCTCTACAGGCTCCTACAAACTAGCATACACACAGAGACACAAACACATAAGGCACACCATGATAGATAGATAGATAGATAGATAGATAGATAGATAGATAGATAGATAATAAAATTTTGCCAAGCTTGGGAGGCAAAGGCAGGATGATCTCTGTGAGTTTGAGCTCAGCCTGGTCTACATAACAAGCTTGAGGTGAGTCGTGGCTATATAGTGAGACCCTATCTCACTAAATAAATAAAAAGGGGCTAGAAATATGGCTCAGTCGCTAAAAAACACTTGTTGATCTTCCAGAGACCTGGGTTTGAGTCCCAGCACCCACATGGCTGCTCACAACTCTCTCTAGTTCCAGTCCCAGGGAATCTAATGCTCCCTTTTGGTCTCCACAGGCACTGTACACATGTGGTCCACAGGCGTACATACAGGCAATACATATACATACATTTAAATAAAAATCTTTAAAATTAAATAAGCAAGTAAAAATAAAAATAGAATCAAAAATAGGACTTCATTTTCAAATGAGGTCATACACATATCTGCCGTTAGAACTTCAGTAGATTTGGGGGAGAAACTGACCCTACACCATCATCCAGTCACCCCACATGGCCTGATGGGATTCCCTGGTGAATCTCTTTCTCTTGCAGGTGCTAGAGCGCTGGTGCACATCTCCACGGACCATCGAGGTCCTGATGAACACCTACTGCGTGGTGAAGCTTCCTGAGGAGGCCAGGGGCTTGGTACCACCTGAAATCGTGCAGGTCAGTGTCCAGGACCCTGAGCACGTGACTCAGCTTGGCCCTGAGAGACACCATTCCCCGAGGGACAGCCTTGTCAGTCTTCCATAGAAGTCGCTCAGCAGCCCACTCATGTCCTAGAAAAACGTTCCTTCTGGAGCGAGATCTGAGTGTTTTTATGAGGTTCTCAGAGATGCTCCCAGCGGTCACCATCCTGTCCCTGCTAGAAGAAGTGGGAGCCGGTTGTCCCAGGCTGTCCTCACTGAATCCCTCCTCCTGTCTCCAGAAGCACCATCGATTCTACTCTTCCCTCTTTGCCTTGGTGAGGCAGCCCAGGTCCCTGCAGCATCTTAGCCGTTGTGCCCTCCGCTGTCACCTGAAGGGCAGTCTGCCCCGCGCGTTGCCACAGCTTCCCCTGCCATCCAGCCTGCTCCGCTACCTGCAGCTGGAGTTTGAAGATGTGCTTTACTAGGTGAGCCCTGGCTTCTGGGGACAGCTACCCTGCTTGGGACAAGGTATGGGCAGGAGGCAGGAGAGTTGGAGGGTGGCTTCCAGGGCCATTGGAGTTCTTTGATGCCCTGCCTCTCCTTCCAGGTGTGTGCTGCCCCGAGAACAAATCAGCTCCCCAAAGGGCACCTCTGCAAGGACACAAGCCAGGTCATCTTGCCCACACAAGGTCTATCTTCAAATCGGGGACGGGTGCTTTGATCCACACTTGAGAGAAGCAAACAGATGAGCATCCGCTGACACTGATGCAGAGAGCACCTGTGCAAACCTGCACGTGCATAGAAAATCTCCAGGCTGAAGCCGTAATAATGGTGTGGATGTTGTCTTAGCACTTGGAAAGTAGGGCAGGAGGGTGGAGAGTGACCAGATTGTGCTACTTAGTTGACCAGATTGTGCTACTTAGTGAGACTTTGTCTTTAAAAGAAAATCTACAAGTTGTATGATTTGGTATTGTCTCTAACAAGTCCCCACCTACCTTGAGGTGACTCCGGCACATAGAATCAGGACTGGGTTGCCCCAGATGCGAGCTGCCTCACGTCTCCCTTCAGTATCCCCTCACCCTATACAAGATGAGCGAGAACTTGTCAGAGTAGGTGGCCTGGGTTGTGCAGGGAAGAGGCAGAGGCAAAGGGAAGTTGGTGGCCGGGGCTGGAAGGGATGGGAGAGCCCCTGGGGAAAGGGCTCAACATATGTGGGCTGGAAAGTAGCCGTGGCTCGATCGCTCTCTGAGCACCACGCTTGGGAAAAACCACCGTTTCTACTCAGTGCCTAACCCTGTAGGTCAGGGAGCATCTCCCAGTGCACATCTGGTTCTGGCTCCTTTACTCTGCTTCTGTAGTTTTTATTCTACATAAGGGTGTTTTACCTGAATATGTGCGAATATGTGTGCGTGCATAGTGTACATGTCTGGTGCCCCTGGAGACCAGAAGGGGAAGTCAGATCCTCTAGAACTAGAGTCACAGATGGTCGTGAGCTGCCATGTGGGTGCTGGGAACTGAACCTAGGTCCTTAGAAAGAGCAGCCAGTGCGCTTAACTGCTGAGCCATCGCTCCAGCACCTTTAATGCACCTTTTTTTGTTGTTTGTTTGTTTTTGTTTTGTTTTTTGGGACTGGGTTTCTCTGAAGCTTTGGTGTCTGTCCTGGAACTCACTATGTAGACCAGGTTGGCCTTGAACTCAGAGAAATCTGCCTGCCTTTGCCTCCCGAGTACTGGGTTTAAAGGCGTGCACCACCAGCCTGGCATTAATCCAATTCTTTAAATATAGCTTTGTGGTAGCAAGAGTGTGAAGCGGTCACTAGAGCTGGGCTCTTCACTCGACTCTGTCATCAGCTTGTTGTGGAATAAAAATCTCCTCCCCTAGACTCAATCTTCTACTTCTGTAAAACGGTAGACTCGGGATGCCATCGCAGCAGCCAGCAGCGGGTGGGGCAGAGCACCAAGCGTGCTGTGGTCCGTGGTGTCAAGGGTCACAGGACAATTCCCGGGCTTGCTGAGCACTTTCCCAGCCGCCTACAGGAAGACGTACTATGTGGGGCGGGGCCTGGAGGCGGGGCGAGAAGGCTGTAGAGGCAAGAGGCTGAAGGTGGGTGGACTGGCCTCTGAGTCTAGCCTTACTCAACTTGGACTGACCCGCCAGCCTGGGCTTCCGTCGCCAGCACGTGGCTTGAGGACTGGCGAGTGGCCTCTGGTGTGATCAAGAGGGTCCATGGCTTTTTTGCAACCTCAGCCATGGGAACGCCTGCATTTTGCAAGGATAAATGGGGCCAGAAGTTGATTTCTAGGTGTTGACAGGGAACCTACAGCAGAAGGTCCTTCGCCATCCGCGGGGACCTCTCTGGGAGACCCTGTCTCGTCCCTGAGATGAGGAGTTCTGGAGGATGTTGTTCCGAGTTCATCTGTTTGCCCATAACTGCAGCGCCTCCTGTGTTCTAGCCTGGACTGGCACGAGGCTGTAGGGGGCACCAGGGCTAGCTTTCTGTCCCTACTCTGCAGAAAACGCTAGGCAGACAAGAGGAAGTTGCACATCGTACTCAGTAGAGAGACGCAGGCAAATAGTGCTGTGACAGCGCTAGGGAGTTATTTTGGATTCAGTAACAGGGAAACCTACTCTTTGAGGAGGTTGGCATTTAACATGAGATCAGAATGACAGGGAGAAGTCAGCCTGTAAGTCCCCCGTGGGGAAAAGCAGGAGAATAACGGGGGCCACTGTCCCTCGGGCTGTTCGCTGTGAGTGGCTGGTTTGAGCCGGGCAAGCTTTGAGAATCCAGAAGGTCAGTTGGAAACTAAAGCAGCCATCCTGGAACGAGAGGCGGATAGCAGCGAGCAATTTTGGAACGCTTTGGGGGGATGGATAGTGCTTGCTGAGGGACTCACCCAGCATGCCTCACAGTTTCTTGTTTTATTTTTTGGCTTGAACAACTAAGTGGGTGGTGGTACCAATGACTGAGGCAAGGGGGGTAGAGAGGTCTGTGTTAGCCAGATGAACCTGTTAGACATCTCAAGGCAGATGGACCAATGAATTTGAAACCCTGTTTCAAGAGGACCTTGCTGCTCAGAGAACAGCTGTGTGCATCCTGCTTATGGATTCTATTTAATCCCTTTCGCACCCTGCCGGGATTAAGGTGGTAAATACAAGGTTCTGAGACATGGCCCTACCCTCAGAGAATTATCAATACAATCACACCGCCCTCACAGAACACACGTGGACTAGCAAGGTGTGCAGGGAGAGAATGAAGCCACAAAGGGGTGAGAGCCTCAGAGGCTCTTCTGCCATGTCTGAGGAATACTGGGTGTGAGACTCATTTTCAAGGAGCCAAGAAGGGAAGACCAGAAAGGGGGTGTGGAGTGGTGGGTTTGAAGAAGCTGTGCCTCGCTTCATGTCTCGCTCCTTAGCGAAGCAACGTTAGGAAAACCGTTTCTGGGGTTAGACATCCAGACACTTGCAAGCCAGGGAGCTTCCACCCCAGCCTCCTGGCTGATGGTCCCGCGGGCCCAGAACCTCTCCCTGGTAATTGCTTTCCATAATGTGTTTGCTCCAAACCAATTTCACGCCTCCGTGAGGACTCCGCCCTGCACTGGAGTTGCGGACCTCCCTACCACCAACCTATCCGCCTGTGAACGGGTGGGCTAGCACATACCACAGAGACAACATAACAGATACCCAGAATTCGAGAACCCTGACATAATAAAGATGCATATACCTACATGCGTGCACACTAGACTTTAAGATACCCGTGTACCCGCACCGAAGCCCACGCTCACTGTGGAGTAAGAAGTGCTTTGAAGCTTGTTGCCCGGTTCTAGTTTCTTTGCTCTCGACGCCTCTCTTGACCAACGCCAGGGGGCGCTGCGGCATTCCGCGGCTCCCTCGATGTGACTGCAGTTGCGTCCTAGTGCCACCAGAGGGTTCTCGCGGACAGAAGCCGACGTGGCCCTCAGTGGGAGGGCACTCCCGCCTGAGTGAATCGGAGATAGGGACCTGTTGACTTTGGCTTTAGAACACTTTGCTCATTTTTTTGTGTCCTAGCTGCAACTGCCAGCACATGAAGTAGAGGACAGAAGGTGAGGCCTAACAGAGACCAAGCAGAGAGGGTAAATCAAACTATTTAGACATTTGTAGAGGTGCATGCCTGCAGGGGGAATCTCGGAGTTTGAGACCAGACTGGTCTATATAGCAAGAACTAGGTCAGTCAGGCCACATAAGCCCTGGATTTTTTGTTTTTTTTTTGTTTGTTTGTTTGTTTGTTGTTGTTGTTTGTTTTGTTTTCTTCTGAGACAAGGTTCCACTGTGAGGTCCTGGCAGTCCTGGAACTCACTCTGGCCTCGAACTCATAGACATCCACCTGCCTCTGCTTCTGGGATTTAAGACGTGCCAACTCCCCACCTTCCCGCAAGCCCTGTTTTTAAAAACCAAGCAAGTAAATAATCACATTTGAGATCATATTTCCAACAAAGAAATAAAAAAAATCAAAACACAAATTCCTGTGACAAGCATTTTCCAAAGCTCTGCACGGTGAGAGCGGGCCACCTCAGGGTTCATGCACAGGTCCATTTTTATTTTATTATTTATTTTAATGGTTTTTAGATTTTTGTTTATATGAGCTAGTGCTGGACCTTCATATGCATTTGTGCCCCATGTGCAGTGCATGCCTGGTGCCCAGAGGTTTGAGGAGGGAGTCAGATTCCCTGGTACTGAAGTTACCAAAGGCTGAGAGCTGCCACGTGGGTGCTGGGAACAGAACCCGCGTCCTCTGGAAGAGCAGCCACCGCTTGTTAAGGGCTGAACCATCTCTATAGCTCCCTGGCTCCATTGTAGGAAAGATCGGATACTAGATGTTCGGGGATTCCGTAGCAAAGTCCCCATTTTCCGCTGGTAAAGAGCCAGTTTTGTTCAGATTTGGTGGCTTTGATGGCAACAGTGTCTGTCCTTGGTCTAAAGTGCTGCTGACCGGGTGGAAGGTGAGTCCTTTCTCTCTTGGGCAGATACACTCTTCCTTTGCTCCTTGCAGCAAGAACTCATTTGGGAAGACTCATTCTGCCTCAGATCCATGTAAGCCTTGCTTTCTAAGCAGCTTAGATTCCCTCTCTCAGACGGAAAAGTTAAGACAGGGCACCTCCAGCAACGCTTCCCCATTTGCTGTGTGGTCTCAATTCCACCCGGAAAGTAAGGGCAGAGACAGAAATTGGGCTGCAGCAGTCACCCCTGAGCGTGCGATCCTAGCTGCTGAACATCAAAGACCTGAGCAGCCACTCCTCATGACCCCATTGGGGCAAGGGACTGATTGAAGATATAAATGGGCTACAGAGCTCAGTATCTGGCTCACATGCTGGGTCAATACAAAGCCCCTGAGGTGTCACTTAGCTCATCACTTCTGAGTGGGCTGCCCACGGGGATTCATCGGTGCCAGCTTGGGTGGAGAGTAGAGTGCTCTGAGTGTAAGTGCGACACAATCAGCTCCTGGCTTGAGATAGGTGACACACATTTCTGAGACCAGAAGGTCTTTACCCTCTAGTCCCTGAGACTGTGATCTGTTCTGTGCTCACAGAGAATGGCCGGCTTGCTTGAGTGTGCATTCACTATGGGAGCTTTGGGACAGAGGTATTTCAACATATGTCCTTTTAAGCTTTTGAAATTTTGTTCTATGCGATGTTATTACCTATGCAAAAAATGGATGCAATTACTTTTAAAAATGGCTCTTCTCCGTGTGTTATTTGATTGGTGCGGAAGCTACTCATACAGCTTTAATTGCTGTAATTGTAGCTCAAAGTTCCCTCCATAATTCATCAAGTCAATAAGCCTCTATTATGTATCCAACACTGTAAAGCCATCAAACCAAGTACTTGACCTCTCCCTTCTGAAGTACAATATGCTTTTGAAATCTGGTCTTCATTATCAGCGCCATGGAGGGCTTGGTTAACTTAACCAAGAATTGTTTGGAAAGACTGTCTACAGCCAGTGGTGTATTCTGGTTCTTGATTGTGAGCTGGGGACTCCCAGACTT